AAGTTGCGCATTTTGATGTGACGTCACATTTCTCAACCCCCCCCCCTCGTCACAAATTGCTGACCCCCCCCCCCCCCCCCACCAGGTGCGTGACGTCATTTATGGACGGCCCCGAAGTGCACTCAATTGAGGTTACGCTTTGGAATGTGAAAACCTCGCCGAACGTGGTAATATCTAACACGTACTATGGCGATACACGGGTCACTTGATGAGGCTTGTTTTCCTGAACACGAGGGTGATGATGTTTTGGCGACACACAGTTTGACGTTGCTAAGATCGTTGCTAAAGGCGAGCGAGCGTTGCCTCTGTTGCAAGGCACTGTGGTGTGAACGAATCGACTTTGAGAACCATTTGATGAACCATGTATATATTTTTTTGTCGCGTAATAATTAATGTAACACACACACACACGCACGCGCGCAACGTGCTCACACACAACGTTAATGTTCAACGCTTTGTTCACTCGGCGAGGACGTCAGTCGTACGGACGCCCAGATGGCGTGAGTTCCATAGTGCGTGAAGACTAACGGAGACGGTGGGGGTGGGTGGGGGGGTTGTTGTGTTGAGGTGAAATATCAAAAATAAAGAGAGCACGCACACACAAGAAGTGGAGAGCTACTCACCATCCTTTATTACAATACCAAGGGCAGAAATCACGAAGAATTAGTTACACAAAGAGGTAGGGGGTTGATCATTTTGGACCCAGGAACACAACCCTATTTTCCCATAAGGTCAATTATTCGTTGAATGCGGTTTTGCCCAAAGTGGCATTAACCTGGAATGCGAGGCGATAGCTGCGTTATTCACGAATGCTTTAAGTTATCTTAACACACAGGACAACTAAAATTATAATTGTGAGGGCTGGTTTATTCTGCTCCCCCGGATAATGCAGGCTCGCCTGCACTCTGGCACGAACAGGGACGCCTCAAGGCAAAACAAACGGAGCAATGAGCCAGGTTTGTGACATTTTACGAAAAAAAATTCTGCTACGAAAAACGTCGCAGTTTAGCAGAAAGACTTGAAGGAAGTTTTAAACACTTAAACTATATATATTTTTTTATTTTACCAGGTAAGTCCCACTGAGCTATATAGCTCTTAAATTTTAACTTAAAACTTTTGTGATTGCACGAATTCATATTACTTGGTTCTACATAATATTCATAATAAAGGTTTTTGGGTTAGATCGCGTTATTTATAAATGTGATCTGGTCCCATCTGTGAAGGACAAGATTCCTGGCATGCAATATCCCGGTGTCTACAAACTAAGCTGTATCTGCCGCAACAGTTACATTTGGGAAACTAAGCGACATGTCTCGGACCGTGTTCGTGAACAAAAGGCATATTTGAAACACAGTACGATAAATACTTCTGCCGATGGTACTTTGCAAGCCTACTGGCTATCAACAAAGATCATTCTTGAAGCCATCCATATATACAGACACAGACACAATTTTAACCAAGAAGTCGGTTATAAATTTAGCAATCATTGGAAAGATGTCATCAACCACTGTGGGTCGTGACTTGATTTGTAATTTCTTGTCAACCTCCACCGTCAGCAGTGTTGATGTGTGGAGCGAGGTGCAATGCCCCCCATCTTTACCCCCTCTCTCTCCCCCTATCTCTATCCCCTCTCTCCCCCTATCTCTCCCCCCTCTCTCTCTCCCCTATCTCTACCCCCTCTCTCTCCCCCTATCTCTCCCCCCTCTCTCTCTCCCCTATCACTACCCCCTCTCTCTCCCTCTATCTCTCCCTCTCTCTCTCCCCTACCTCTACCCCCTATCTCTCTCCCCCTATCCCTATCCCCTCTCTCCCCCTATCACTCCCCCCTCTCTCTCTCCCTTATCTCTACCCCCTATCTCTCTCCCCTATCTCTACCTCCTCTCTCCCCCTATCTCTACCCCCCTCTCTCCCCCTATCTCTCCCCCTCTCTCTCTCCCCTATCTCTACCCCCTCTCTCTCCCCCTATCTCTCCCTCTCTCTCTCCCCTATCTCTACCCCCTATCTCTCTCCCCTATCTCTACCCCCTCTCTCTCTCTGCCCTTATCTCTACCCCCCCTCTCTCCCCCTATTTCTACCCCTATCTCTACCCCTCCCCCCTCTCTCTCCCCTATCTCTACCCCCTCTCTCTGCCCTTATCTCTACCCCCTCTCTCTCCCGCTATCTCTACCCCTCTCTCTCCCCCTATCTCTACCCCCTCTCTCTCCCCCTATCTCTACCCCTCTCTCTCCCCTTATATCTCCCCCCTCTCTCTCCCCCTATCTCTACCCCTCTCTCTCCCCCTATCTCTACCCCCTCTCTCTCCCCCTATCTCTACCCCCCTCTCTCCCCTTATCTCTACCCCCTCTCTCTCCCCCTATCTCTACCCCTCTCTCTCCCCTTATCTTTACCCTCTCTCTCCCCTATCTCTCCCCCCTCTCTCTCCCCTATCTCTACCCCCTCTCTCTCTCCCTATCTCTACCCCCCCTCTCTCCCCCTATCTCTACCCCTCTCTCCCCCCTATCTCTCCCCCCTCTCTCTCTCTCCCCTATCTCTACCCCCTATCTCTCTCCCCTATCTCTACCCCCTCTCTCTGACCTTATCTCTACCCCCTCTCTCTCCCCCTATCTCTACCCCCTCTCTCTCCCCCTATCTATACCCTCTCTCTCCCCCGTTGTCTTCTCCTACATTAACATTAGCTGCCCCCCCCCCCCCCCCATGCTGCTGACACACTTGGACTATGCCGTTCGCCGCTCAGCACTCGCTCGTACGTTCATGCTGCTCACGGGCTCTTGTCCCCCACGCCTTCTGACACTTGGGCTACGCCTCATTTTAAACATTTATAAACAGTTGCCTTTAGAGGCTTAACCCCGCTTTTCTCTCCGCCTGATGACGCCCGCTTGTGTTGTGATCGAAACGTCGTGAGTTTTTATTAAAAAAATTTTTTCTATCTACGGGACTTCACCGAAAGAACCAAAGAATATAAAGCTATTTTTCGGAAGCGACCCGCCCGCCAATGATAGCCCCTAGGAAGTGGCTTATCACGTGGAAATGTACAGCAGCCAAATACTCTAAACGCGTGTTCTAAATGTGGAGGGAAAAACCGGAGGACCCGCATAAACATCCACACGACCACGGCGAGAACATGCAGACACCACATATACAGCAGGCGAAGCAGATAACATCTCGCCACCGTGGCGCCCCTACAAAGTGAGTTCAAACAAATGATTATCCAGGGCTGCCTGGTACTCTGAACCATAAAGCAGCTATACTGAAAACACACTGTTTGGGGCAAGTGCTGTCAGCGAGTAGCACCGATTGGGCCGTTCATAAATGACGTCACGCACCTAGAGGGGGGGGGGTCAGACATTTGTGACGATGTGTGACGAGGGGGTGGGGGGAGGGGGGTTGAGAAATGTGACGTCACATCAAAATGCGCAACTTTAAATAAATATAGACAACGCGTTCTACTTAATTAAATAGACTTTTTAATAAATGTTTTCTCCTACAACATCAAGACTGCAGCGCCACATTAAATTACGCACTAAAATGACAATAGTTTAAAGCGATTTGAAGCACGTTTTATTTTCAAGAAAAACAAAACACTTACAACAAAGAATACTTTGTTGTAAGTGTTTTGTTGTAACATAAAATGAACTTGAAAAGCGGCGGATAATAGTGAATGTTTACTTTGATGAGACCTCCTTTGCCAGTAACAAGATATAGTAATAGGTTTTACCCTTTTAACTGGCACAAAAACTGACACCTTTATTCAAGGCATCATGTTTGCTATAACCACAACACAAGCAGTCAAAATGCAAACAAAAAGAGACAACTCTGATCATAATATTGGCACTGTCCTTGAATTTTATTGGTCCACACCCGAGACGGCTTTTCTTAGAGCCTAGTCTCCACTGGTGTTGGACCAGAAGACGCGTCAGTTTTTAGGGCGAGTTAAAAGGGTAAAACCTATTACAATAGTGAATGTTGTCCAGGAACCCTCCTCGGCAGTTTAGACTCGGCGACTAGAGCGCAGTACTGTACACAGAGTGGGAGGCGCAGACTGTAAACTTAAAACTCAAAACTCGCCACACCTGCATAGCTGGAGAGTCATTCAAAGAGAGTCATTATTCCTCCAGCAACCACACACTCGACAAAGACAAAGACAAACCCCCCCCCCCCCCCCCACGTATAGCCTGAACACGCTGTTTGGGGCAAGTGATGTCAGCGAGTAGCACCTATGGGGCCGCTCATAAATGACGTCACGCACCTAGAGGGGGGGGGGGGGGTCAGACATTTGTGACGATGTGTGACAAGGGGGGGGGGGGGGTTTGAGAAACGTGACGTCACATCAAAATGCGCAACTTTAAATAAATATAGACAAGACGTTTCTACTTAATTAAATATACTTTTTAGTCAATGTTTTCGCTTACAACATCAGAGTGCAGCGCCACATTAAATTACGCACTACAATGACAATAGTTTAAAGCGATTTGAATTCAGCATGTTTTATTTTCAAAATGGAAAAATAGTCTGGGGGGGGGCAGAGCTTTGTGATGTCATATTTAAGGGGGGGGGGTCCGACTTTTTGTGACGCCGTGTGACGAGGGAGGGCGATGTTTACTGCACACCGCACCGGAAACTCATTTGAGGCTGAGTCGACCTAGGGGAGGCCCAGGACCGGTTCAGATGAATCGTCACTGGGTTGTTGGTGGGCGTTAGCTGGAATTGAACTCGGGTCGCTGGGTTGGTATCACAGTGCGCTAACCGCTGCACCACCGCTCCCTACCACACAAAAGACAAAGATCCACCGTATAGCCTGCGCAGACTGTTGTGGCAAGTGCTGTTAGCGAGCAGCACCTACGAAGGCCGGCACGGCACACGAGGAGGTGGGTGGCCAGCACCACGCCCGGCGCAGCTGAGTCGACCTAGGGGGTGCCCACGACCGGTTCAGATTAATCGTCGCTGGGTGTTGGTGGGCGTGAGCTCTACCCCACACACACACCCCTCCATAAACATCAACCCCCCACACACAAAGGCATGCTACTCACTCCGAGCCAGAGTGGCGTTTACTTGCGCTGGGTAGTCGAGGCCAGTCACGTTGAATGCGCTGGGCACAAGCGTCACGCAGGTGCCTCTGTGCGTGTAAGAGTTGTCGCAAGCGCCGTGGTTCAGTGTGATGTCATGTAGTGTTCTCCAGAACCGTGCTGCTGTAAAAGTTTCACGTTGAGTATTATTCTGCTGCTGCTGCTGCTGCACCATGAGCTACTACGCCACGTAACACGTTGCAGTTGTCTTTCAGAATTTGGAAAGAAGAGTGACTCACGTAAGTACTCTTACGGGTGCGATGCGTGGTTTTAACAAGCACACACCTGGCCACCCAAGAACGTCGCGTGCCGTTCCGGCTTTCGTAGGTGCTCGCTAACAGCACTTGCCCCAAAAGTCTGTTAAGGCTATAGGGGTGGTCTTTGCCTTTCGTGTGGCAGGGGAGCGGTGGTGTAGCGGTTAGCGCGCTGCGATATGAACCCAGCCACCCGAGATCGCATTCCGCTCTTGGCCAACACCAGCGACTATTATCTCAGCCGGTCCTGGGCCTCCCCTAGATCGACCCAGCCTCAAATGAGTACCTGGGGCGGTGTGCAGTAAGCATCGCCACTGGGGGAGACAAAGGCGGTCGGGCGTGGTGCTGGTCACCCACCCCCTCGTGTGCCGTGCCGGTCTTCATAGGTGCTGCTGCTCCTCGCTAACAGCCCTTGCCCCAGCAATCTGTCAAGGCTTCAAGGGGTATCTTTGTTGTTTTGTGTGTGTGTATACACCGCAGTTGCTTTGGCGGAGTCACGAAGCCCGCATACCCATCCACCGAATGCCAAAGCAGCTTCTGTTTGACCGGCTAGAGGAAGCTAGATGGGCGCGGCACGGGCTGGAGAAGAGATGGAATGATGCGGTACGGGAGGAAGTGGAGCCGAGTGGACTTGCCGTGAATGGTACCAGCGGTGTCGGCCTCTGTGGAGGAGGAGAGTCGTGAAGAGACGCCACTGGGCAGTTGGAGGCAGTCGCCCATCAGCAACGAGCGGAGCGCCGGGCGGCTAAATCACAGCCAGAGTGACACATTGCGGGAGCGGAAGCGGTGCCATCTGTCGATCATCGCGGGCAACCCACGGCACCTGGGGTGTCGATCCCGTGACCTCCTCCTGCTCGCGAGCACTTCGGACACTTCACGTGGCCTCGAGGTACACCTAGCCTGGCACGAGGGATGTGGTGACTTCACTACTTTGTGGCGAAACGACCTTTTTTAATCTTTATTCAGATCTTTGTTTTTTTCTTGCAATCGCGGGTTGCTGAGCGAAGGCCCCCCCCCTCCCCCCCCCCCCCAAAAAAACGCCAAGTGTGACCGGCAATCAGAGAGCGCGATTAAAGTTGTATTAGATAAGAGTTCACATTTCTTGAAGTGAGCAAGGTTTATTATAGCAACTTGGAAAAATGGACGACGGGAAGAGCAGTGGGGAGGGGTACAAGCAGGAAAGAGAAGTGTGGAGGTTAAACACAGGATAGGATGTACCGAGTCTGGTAGATTGAGTCCCTCACCATGGGTGTAGGAATCAATGAGTAGTTCACGGGAACAGTAACCATTGTTTTTAGCGATAGAAGAGTGACAAGGAGGCGATTGAATACCGAGTGAGCGACTGGACGTGAATCTGCGAGTACTGGGCCATCAATCATTGCATTGAGAGTATTGAGATTATTTTTCTGCTATACAATTACACACGATAAGCCACTGTTGAGCTATCATTTGTGGCCAGGTCGCTTCTGAAAATGAGTTAATACCTCAGTGGTCTTTGCCTGGTAGGATGGGGATGGTTTAGTGTATTTGTATGTGTTTGGGCGAGTTGTTTACCTTTCTTGTGCTTTGCACGGACTATCATGTGTTTGTTACTGTTTGTTGTTGTAATGTTTTTAACCGTTCCGACTGGACGTCTGTGAAAAGAGCTTTGAAGCTCATCGGATTCCTCCAGTAGAAATAAATATTCTGTTTCTGAATAAGCCTGATTGCTTTACGTTGAATTCTATCAAGTGCAGTGAGTGTAGCTACCAATGCGAGATCAGGAATTGGAATCAATAACCCCCAGTGAAGAATACCCCCGGTAAAGAATAACCCCATTCAAGCATAATGGAGCAGGGATGGGGTGGGGGGGTTAAATATTGGCCAAGGAAATTGGAAAGATAACCCCATTTATAGAGTGACCCCATTAAAGAATATCCAAATTTTTAAGTGTTTAAGGATTTAAAAGGAAGAGCACGAACAAGGAGAGGGGATCATACAGGGATGGGAACCATCATCCCATCATCCCACACAGTCGCTCTATTTCCCCAAGTTCTCATAGAAAGGAGAGGGGGTGAACAGTGAAGCGCAGGGTTGTCACTTGAGTGAGACCTTGACAATGGGGGATAGCGGGGAGAAGGGGGAGATCTTTAGAATGGGGAGGTTTTTTGTTTGTGTGGAACAGAACCAGGTTTTTATTTTACCCAATCATGAATAGTTTACAACTCAATAGTGAATGGTCGTGAAGTGTCTGAGTGTTGGGCAGTTATATGTCTGACTCTCAGCTTGTGATTGAAATTACAGTAGTGAATTATCTCTCCCCCCCCCCATACCTCAACCATGCATTTCTCTTTTAAAAAAATGCCCTGATAAAATAATCGCCTTAGGATTATACATATATAGTTGATATTTTATGTACAGGGTTGTAGTTGTCATGTATGTATTTTGGTGCTGGACGACAACGCTGTGGTAGGCAGTGCCATGGGTGGAGGGCCAATTTAGATTGGCCATTCCCCCCTCAATGCGTTTGTAACCACCACAGCGGCCAAATGGGGGCTCTGGATGGGTGCGAGGGGCTGGTAACCCCTCCACTTAATTACCACAAAACCACGATTCAAAAATGTAATTAAGCTGTGCCGGAGGCCCCGGGGGGACAGGCGTCTATGACGTCTCTTGGCCAAAACCCCATTTGGTGGAGCCAGGAGATTGAATCCTTACCCTCGGGGCTCCTCCAGAAATAACAAAAAACCGCTATGGGTGGCCACGTGGAATTTTCGAATGCTCACTGTGGAGGAGAGGCTGATACTTCTCTGTTGGGAGCTGGACTGGTACCGCCTGGATCTCTGTGGTATTCAGGAGGTCTGGTGGACCGGCTTTGGCTCCTACCACCATAAGGGGTGGACAGTCCTCTACTCGGGGCAGGAGACTGCCAAACAACATGGAGTGGCTCTTCTTCTGAACAAAAGGATGAAGGGGTCGTGGGAGCGTGGCGGTGAGGTGTGGGAAGCTGTAAGCCCCAGGCTATTTTGGGCTCGCCTTCCCATCAACCAGAGGCGAGGAGTGGTGGTCATGGTTACTTATGCCCCCACGGAAGACGAACATTCGTGGAGGGATGCAGGCAAAGCCGATGAGTCAGATGCCTTCTATGACCTCCTGTCACAAGTGTTAGCTAAAGTGGCCCCTCGGGATAGAGTCATCTTGTTGGGTGACTTCAATGCCCGAATTGTTCATGATCTTGGCACCTGGTCTGGAGTGATTGGAAGGCATGGGCCACATCAGCTCAATAACAATGGCAGGAGGCTGCTAGATTTTTGTGCAGCCCATGGGCTTGTAATTACCAACACGCTATTCCGGCATCGGCGCATCCACACAACATCATGGATGCATGCCGGGTCCAAGCAAGAACATCTGCTGGACTACATAGTGAGGGAACAGCGGATGCGGGCCCATGTCCTTGACACCAGGACCTACCGTGGAGCTGATCTGCCCTCTGACCATCGACTAGTCATCTGTAAGATGCACCTGCAATTCTTCCACTATGATTGTGGGTGTACACGCAGGACCCCATTCAAACCCATAGTGGCATGGTCTCAGCTAGCCGATGAAAGTTGCAAGCGAGAATTTAATCATCGCTTGCTGCTGGGTATGGGATCGTCCCCCCCCTCCTCCTGATGTCGAGGGGAAATGGGCGAGGTTTAGGACTGTGGCTCATGCAGCTTCAATGGCTGCTTTGGGTACACGGTCCAGACCTCTTCAGAGACCCTGGCTGACAGAGGAAGTGTTCAGGCTGGCTGAGTAAAAGCGATAGGCCCACTCTCATCGTCTACAGCATCCCACGTGAGAGAATGAGGAGTCTTACCGCAGCCTTCGCTCAGAGGTTTTGAGAGCTGTGAGGCACTGCAAGGATGGGTGGTGGTCGAGGGTTGCTGAGGAGATGGAGTCTGCCTCAATGGCCCGCGATCACAAATCGCTCTTTAACTCCATCAAAAAAGTAACCTGCAGCGCCATACCTATTACCATAATTAGGGGAAAGAACGGTCATCAATCTCTGATCCCAGGAACAGGTTTTGCAGATTTACTAAGCATTTCTGAGGTCCTGGGGGAGGGGAAATCCCTCAGCCTGGAAAACATTGTGAGACATAGTGGCGATGACCCTGTTGAGGCTGCGGTTGCTCAAATATTGGAAGAAGTCACCCCCTGTGAGTGGCTGGCTGTGGTGCCATCTGTTGAAGAAGTACTGAAGGCGATCTAGAGTCTGAGACCAGGAAAGGCACCGGGCAGAGATGATCTCCCAAGCGAAATGCTGAGGGAGGGTGGCATTTGTGCAAAGACTGTCCTAAATTACATTATAACTGCACAGACTGTATAAACTACAGGGGCATCTCACTCCTCTGTGTGCCGGGAAAGGTCCTGGCAAGGAAAGGGTGGTCCTGCACAGATGCCATATTTTCTGTCCGTCTGCTACAGCAGAGGTGTGGGGAATTCCAAAAATACCTACATCTCTGCTTTATTCACCTGGTCAAGGCCTATGATACCATCAGTAGGCCTGGACTCTGGGTTGTTCTTGGTGCTTTCAGAGTCCCTGACCCTTTGCTCACGATAATTAAGGACCTTCATGATGGTGAGCAGGCCCAGGTAAAACTACGTGGTTGGGAGTCGGAGCCATTACCTGTTCATCTTGGGGTGTCACAGGGATGTCCTCTGGCTCCCACATTATTTGACATTTATTTCGACCACGTAGTTCGTGAAGCCTTCAATAGCTGTACTGGAGGAATTTCCATCTGGTACAGATACAATGGGAAGCTGATCGATGCCTGGGTGCGGTCAAGGGATGGCTCCCTATTGCTCAACCATGTTACGTATGCCGATGATCTGGTAATTGCTGCTCACTCAGAGGAGGAGTTGGAGGCGCTGCTGCTGAAACTGGAGCTTACCACTAAGAGGTGGGGCCTTACCATCAGCCCCACCAAAACTAAGCACTTGCCTGGGTACCATCGGACACTCCATCCCCACAACTCCCAATTGGTGATAGGGCAGTTGTGGAGAGAGTGGAGAGTTTCCCATACCTGGGCAGTGTGCTCATGACCGGTTCCTGTTTAACAGCAGAGATTTCACTCCGAATCAGTTGAGCGGCATTATCTTTTCATCGGTTGCGTAACGCTGTGTGGAAGCTACCTGGTCTGTCACTCCGCACGAAGCTTCAGGTCTTCTCGGCCACAGTCATTCCCTCCTCCTCTACGCTTGCGAAACGTGGACCCTCCCTAATGGAACATCTTCGTCGGTTCGAAACATTTAGGCTGGCCTGCCTACGATCCATCCTGGGTTTAACCAGGCTGGATTGTGTGAGGAGCTCACAAATCCTTGAAAGATCTGGACAAAGTCCCTTTGGTGAGCTCCTCCGGCAGGCATGGCTGCGTTGGCTGGGTCGTGTAGCCTGCATGCCCAGCCATCGCATGCCTAGCCACCGCATGCCTAAACAGCTTTTGTTTGGCCGGATCGAGGGGGCTAAACGGGCGTGGCACGGGCTAGAGAAGATATGGAGTGAAGTGGTACAGGAGGATATGGAGCTGAGTGGACTTGCCGATGACTGGTACCAGCGGTGTCAAGATCGGCCTCTGTGGAGGAGGCTCGTGAAGGACGCTACTGGGCAGTTGGAGGTAGTCGCCCTCCAACAACAACGGAGGGCGGAGGAGCGACGCTCACAACAACGAGCGGAGCGCCGGGTGGCTGAAGCACCAAGTTGGCACAGTAGGGGGCACAGGTGGTGCATCAGCCAGTCATCTCAGTCATCTCAGTCAGTCGACCCGTGGCACCTGGGTCTGCCCCCGCGACCTCGTGCCAGCGGGCGTTCGACACTTCACGTGGCCTCAACGTGCACATCGCCTGGCACAAGCATCGTGGCGAATGGCG